CGCTCGCTCTCCCTCACCGCTTGGTTTGGGGACCAACACAACTATTTGTTACAGTTGATTGAGGGCTCTACTAGTCGAGTCTATCCGCTTGACGGTAGAAGCCTGGTAACTGTCCTTCATGGTTGAAGGTGAAATTCTGGAGTTGTCAAGGGGTAGGCAGGTCTTGAAAGAAGGTTGTACTGGAGGGAAGTCGCATATGGCCTGAGTAAAACTACAAATCTACTCAGTGTACCTTTTTTGGGACCAGTCAGCTTTACCATTTTCAGATGCACTATGCCACCTCCTCTCGCTGCTTGGTCGACAGGGTGACAGAACTATTTCTCATAGTTGATTGGGGTGTCTACATTTGCTCGACGGTGGAACCTTTGGGAAAGTTGGTAAGGGGTAGACGGGTGCCATAAAAGGAAGTTGCACCGGAGGGGAGGTTTCGGTAGGGTCCTATACAACGAAAATTTTCAGCTATGCAATGATGGGCTCTGCTATCTGATATGGTTTCCTCTACAGTGTGACCTGTTCTCATAATCAGGTGTTTGATCTTAATCAGGTGTTTGATCCTGTACTAGTTAGTGAGGAGGATCGCTGTAGTTAATTAGATGTTTGATGTTGTACTAGTTAGTCGGTGAGTGCAATTGTAATGTTTAACAGTACATCAAAATGATATAGTCGGGGCGAAATGATGACTATTGACTACTGTATGTTGGTTTCTTTTTTTCCATCAAGAAATGATATGAACGCAACGCCCGCATTGCTGGTTTGTAGGTCGGAGAGGATCCCAGTTTTCCATATCACATTTGGATCTTGCCAGTTATTTCACTGACCGTCTGCCTCATTGGCGCCGTTGTTAAGACGCTCGCTATTCGCTGAATTCCTGATTTTTTTTTCTGCTTCTAATCTCATAATGAAAGTGACATGAAAAAATGGAACATTCGACTTCGCCCTTTGGAACGTCATCATCGTTCGGTCGTTTGACAGATTTTTTTATTTTCAAACAGATTTTTGATTTCGATTTTTTTGCGTTCAGTCTTGTCAAGACGTGTTCTAGGACGTGCATTAATCGCATACCATACCATACCTATGTCGACGTGAAATTACACCTAAGTGTATTGTCCGTATCATATCTGATTTCTGGTGTCCTTATGTTGTACCCGAATCGAATTGATTGAACGCCAGATTGCATAAGTGACCCGGAAAATCTCGAGTTCAGCGCTGACCTACTTTAAACTCCTAACGCGGGTTTTTCGTGCCATGTCTGAAATGCGTGTGTGTTCTGTATCGTCTGCGCACTCTATTATTTGTAACCGTTTTTATTACGGTCAATAAGTAACTGCCATTCAATTCTTATTGCCTTCCTTCCGCCTACACTACACTACAGAACACGCTTTTGATGTTGAATACCTCATGTTGTTGGTGTTTGCGATGGACATCAGACTGCGCAGCGTCCGGCCTGCTGTCGTCCCCTGTCCAACGCCGGTCAGATGGGCTGTTTGTTCCGCTACTAACGGGTTCACACCCTCTCATAGTTTTCATGAAGCATCACAACGTTACACGTTCATTAATATGCCACCATAGATAAATCAGATGTTGATCAGGTGGAGTTTGTGTCAGTGCCGTTCCGCTGCCAATGAATGGTTTGGGGCGTTTCACCAGCAACTTGACAACTTGTTTTTGATTCGCCAAACAGCAGCCATACCAGTTAACCATTTCTTTTTGCTCTTTCTGGAAGGTAACTTTCAATATTGGTATTATTCCCTACACTATTACTGCCTATACATTCATATTACAGCAATAAATTCTTTCCTCGAGTTCGCCGGTATTGAAGCTAAGGCACCTCATCGCTTTTTTGACATTTTTGCTAACTGAGGCACACCCCTCCCTGATTCACCTCACCCCACCCTCTTTAATGGCCTCCTTCACAACCCTTTCCCTCCCCCGGTACCACTCCATTCGAAACAGCCTTCTCTCTCATTAACTTTTTTCAAAAATTTGCCGTTTCTTTTTGAGATATTTCCGTCGTTTCGTTGGGATACATCAAACGGGAGAACTCAGCAATCAGGAAAATACTTCTCAAAGTACGCCCCAGCCCAGTGGCCCCGAGCGGCCAGATACGACCCCGTTGTCTTTCACAAAGCAGATGGTGCGCCCTGGCTAGCAGGAAGGTTTCCTAGAATCCATCTTCATAACTTCCTCAATCTTGGTAATTTATAACCTGATCATCATCGGACCGTCTTGAACTTAGCGAATCTTAAGAAATCTTGTTTGTTGTTGTTTTCCTCCTGGTTTCTCAAATAAGGATAATTTAATAAGTGTAATAAAGAAGATGAATTATAGAATGTGATAGTTTCAACTGTTTTGATGAAGGCCATAACATGTGATTAACAAGTAAAGAAGTTCCAAAAATGAGACTGCACACGCGGGAATTCTTCAATCAACAAGTAGTACTGTAAAACGCCCACGCCACATTTTTGGTGATACTCTTTTTTTGATAAATAAAGAAGCTTCGAAAATGAGTCTGGACACGCGGGAAATCTACCAACAACAAGTAGTACCGTAAAACGCCAACCCCAAATTTTGGTAAATTTTTTTGTGACGAATAAAAAAGTTTCGAAGATGAGATTGGACACGCGGGAAATCTCCCATGAACAAGTAGTACTGCTAAACGCCCACCCCACATTTTTGGTTTTTATGACAAATAAAGAAGTTTCGAAAAGAGACTGAACATGCGGAAGATGTCCCAACAACAGTAGTATTGTAAAACGCCCACTCTCCCCATTTTTAGTAGTCCTCATTTTTGTGAGTGTACTTGTTTTCTACAACTCTCCCGACCCCATTAAAGACTAGCTGAAGAGCGTCCAGGTATCATTAATGAACTTGTCGATGAAGGGGGCGTAAGTGGAACGTTTCGGGGCCGATTCGCCTTCAAGTCCGCCCCAGCAACACTATTGTGACGAAATCAACAGCGTGGCGAACACGCCGGTGTGCTGACCTCCAGAAAGGTGAACGATCGGAAAACGAGTTAATAGTCCTAGCGAGGTTGAGTGGCCAATACAGTGAACGGCGTGAATGTGTGAGTAAAAAAAACGAGTTGTGAAGTGTATGTGTGACGTCTTAGATGTATATCTTCATTGTTTTTCAACTCGTAACTGGCTAGAGTGACGTTTGATGAACATCTTCCACGTCATCCAAGAACATCATTGTCGTGATCGTCGCCAATGTGTGCGCTAGTGCCCATTGGCAGACGGGTCAGAGAGGGTGACGTCGTGGTCGTCGTGGTGATGCAGTTCATGGTTCTACAGGAGGCGGGCAGTGATGAACGAACGGTTGCTGACATACGACGACAATTCCTTTCCTGCCTCTTGTAACATGTCCTTTTCAGCTGCTTTTTGGAAATGGCAAGACATTCTGAGTCGAGTTTACAATAGCGCTACAAGGTCGTCTCGGACCGCAATCTAAGTGCCGACGCGCTGGCCATCGTATGCGGCCGCTTGCCGCCTCCACCACCGTCGTCGTCACCGCCACCAACGCCGTCGCCGCCGCCGCCGTTGACCTCCTATTCACATTTGACCTATTCTCACAGTCCCGATTCCTCATTTCCTTTCCTCTCCGCTCATAGACCTCGTCAACGCGATCGCTCATAATCTTCACTACATCTACCGCCTATTCGGTTCGTCCACGCACGGGTGGCGGTCACATTATGTTCCACCATCGCACCTTTTTTCAGTTTTTATTAGTGCGTACAAGAAGTAGGCGCTGAAATGTTTTTACTGTTGTCATTGAATCTATCATTACCTTTACTGTTCTGACGTATAACGTCACTACATCGAGAATGGTTCGATTTATTCTCATTATCGACAGTGTTACCGTGTCCCAAATGTCTTGTTCTCTCTTTGATCTAATGCGAATCACGCTGCACAATTTTTACGCTATCAATATCGACCAGTTCTACATCCCTGCGGTTCGTCCACCAATTCACATCCTTTTTACCACAACTCAATTTCCCCGTTCGTTTCGTTCTTCTGTTACAAGTTTTCTACTTGTCTTCGCAGGCGCCTTGTGAAGTGTCAGGCATCAGAAGCCTGTTCCTTTTGCTACTGTTGCGTAACAGTGATTTTTTTCGACGCTGAATCTGATTTACGTTGCCGGTTATGTACTGTGAGTGTGGGGTGATCTAATCGGAAGGATCTTTTTCATGGATTGCGTAAGAATAGTTTAGGGGGGGTAGAGGGCGGACCGTAGGTCGACAGGCCGACCTTGGCGAGCCGGCATGACATGTAATCCTCTGCACACCCCACGGTCCGCACTGTCATAGTCGTTCATCCTAATCGATAGTTAACTTCTTGTGAATTCGTTGTCGTTATCGTCGTCGTCGTTGTCATCGCCGTCGGCGTCGTCGTCGTGGGCAATGTCGACGTCGTCACCCGAGGCCTGAGAAGTTCCTGTTCGACTTCGAACCGATCACTTCTTTTCTCTCTCTGTCTCAACAAGTCTTTATCTCTGTCTAGCTCTCCTTTTTTGGCAGTCGCACTTATCCAACTCCATCGTTTTGCTACCCCTTGTTGACAGTTTAGGACATCAACACGAAACCAGTCCTTGTAAGCATGAAGAGGAACGAGAGGAAGAGCGCTGAGATCTAATTTCTGATACACTCACCCGCTTTGCTTTTCATAACAGCGGCACATAAAGTTTTTTGGATCTTGTGCATGGGACGTTCTTCAGATCTTTTGCACAGGATACCATCTGAAGTGAGCCTTATCTAAATGGCCGAGAACGTCAATGTTTTGTTGAGTAGCTGTTTTTTGATGAATATTTATTTCTATGTATTTCATCATGTTAGTCTTCATCTCTCTCACTTCACTGAACACCGCTGCATAGTTCTCCCGTTGTTTAGACTTTTATCGCTTCGATGATCTCATCGGTGTGTGTGGGGGTATGTAAGTGTGTGTGTGTGTGTGTGTGCTGCTCCGTTTTACGTGTACTTTGTATGGTGCAGACAAGAAAGTGGGAGTGGGTGGGTGGGAAGAGGACAGGTAAACTGTGTGACGGTGCTCTATTTCAGAAGTGACGGTTCTCGACGGAATTGCGATCAAGTGTCGATAAGCATTATGGAGAAGGGCAGTGCGCATTCTTCCGACATGTCTGCCGGTTGGGAACGCGTCTCGGATAATTCGCAGGTGACTACGGAATGACTCATTGCCGACTATCCTAGCTCTTTTCTAATACGATTAGTAATTTTATTACGTTTCACTCTTGAATTGTTAAATCCCTCGCGCGTTGATTCGAATAGCCAACGGGTGTCGGCAACGCTGACCGGCAAAGTTCCGCTTTGGGTGTTCTAGCTGCGCATTCCGCGACGATGAGGCGCACAAGCCGTAGCGAAGTGAATCTCGTCGAGATGTGCAGCTAGATATTTTTTGTCTGCATGCCTTCTCGGCGGAACTCAGTCGATCGCCGATGCTGTTCATGCTGACACACACGGCCCTTATATGCTTTCCCTTATAGAACGAGCCTCCTCTACTCGTCCCTCCAATCCTTATGATTAGCTGCTATTCGCTCCCACTTGGCCTGTATGCGCCCAGATTGCCCGCGACACTTCACCGTGTACCTTCTTCGAAGGAGTTGCGGATACTGCTTGCTTGTTCTGCGCTCTACGCCATGTACATTTCATCTGCTTACAACCGTTTTTCTGAATGTTACCGCTTATGATGCTGTCCTTTTGAACCACTTTGGTTCGCCTACACTAGACGGGTCGCACTATCATGTATCGCATCGCGACCTTTGACGGTCAATGACTTCGCCAGCAACCAGCATCGCGGCCTCCTTGCGCTTACCTCCTTATTTATCCCCTCCCACCTATGTTCCTCTATATGGGTGTCCATATGCATGCTTTCTTACTATTTAAAACTTACAATAGCTTCCCATACAGTAGCACGACCTCCCACGCCCGTATCGCGAGAGCCGGAACGGTCTCGAATATTTTCGCGCATTTCGCCTCCTTACCCCTCCCCTCTCCGTTGCCTCCGCCTCCGCTTCGGCAGCTTACCTTGCTATGCCTCTTTCCGTTCTTGATTTATGACTCATCTTGCACCTCAATGGATTCAATCAATGCTCTTCGATTTGTTTCCATGCGCTACAGTTCCCGTTCGTCTGTCCCACATTTGACGCTCCCCCACCTCGCGACGACTTTCTAATCCGAGACCTGGTTTTTATTACCCTGCACATTAGCACCACTGTACCGAGAATGGGAAACGACGAGGGCAAAGTGAAATCTGATGAGCGCATTATGTAAAAATGTAGTTTTCATTGTATTCGATTCAGTCCGGTGAGAGCATGTCTTCGAACGATCAGCCATGGTGGAAGGAACAAGAAGAAATAGTCATTTCTGGAGTGTCCGGACGTTTTCCAAGGTGACTAGTCGTTCACTTACAGCTCTGTATATGTAGAAGTAACGATTTCTTGCACATTTGCTTTCACCTTCTTTAAGACACAGTAGTTCAGGTGCGAGAACGTCAACGAATTCGGAGATCTACTGCTACAGGGCGAAGATCTCATCACGGAGGACGATCTCAGGTGGCCTCCTGGTCAGTGCCAACCCCATTTACTTTCGGTCTACGACAGCCTTCTGTGATTAATGAGGCTGTCGCAGAGCACTGCACCAAGGCTGTCATTATCTTGTGTAGTTAAGTAAAGGCAGATAGGTAATAACGAGTAATTTGCTGCCATCTTTAGGCTTCTATGATCTGCCGAAGCGACATGGTAAGCTCCAGGATCTCAAGAAATTTGATGCGCAGTTCTTTTCCGTGACTCCTAAACAGGCCAACTTCATGGATCCTCAAGTTCGTATACTGCTTGAGGTAGCCTGGGAAGCGATGGTCGATGCTGGTAAGATTTCTCATGTTTTTGGTACAATCTATTCTACAGTATATCTCTATCAATATTCTTTAAAACATAGTTTTCTCTCATTCTACCTGAACATTTCTACTTTATAAGTTTTATTGCCGATGTTACGACGCTGCTTGGCACGAGCCTGCTACTATTACAGATAGCAGTATTTTGGCCATGGACTTTGCCCTTGATTCGCTGAAAGGCTTATTCAAGCCTTTGTAGTGTGAATATGAAGGTTGAGACCTAAAATGTACTGTGGGAGGGGTAGGGTCTATGGGTGCGTTGGTGTGAGCCCGAGCTGGAACATGATCTTGCTTTTTTGGCGCTTTGTACGCCCAATGGAACACCCAAGTGGGTATAGGTTTTTTCCAACACATCGATCACCTCCGTTTTACTGGAGCTGGATTCCCAGGGTAGTATGGGAGGCCGGCGTTTTCGCCTTTGAAATACTTCAGTTTCATCTTTGATGCCATTGCTGGGTTTTGAATGGCTTCCTTGAACTTTGATTCGCGGAGTGGCTACCAGTTCAGAACAAGTGAGAATCGAGAATCGGTGTGGGGTCACGCGCCTTGCCTAGTACAAAGTTCCAGCAAGACGATACCCCTCTCGCTCAACGGTGTCCCCGTCCCGTCCACACGTCCACCATCGTCATCCCGCTGTTGGTGTGGTCGAAGTGTTAGAGACATGTGTGATGAACAGGCAAGTCACGGAGACGCAGAGCCCGTGTCACGATGGGATAGCTGGTGTGTCCTGTTGTACCACGTAACCTTGAACTAGTTGAAGCAAAATGTTGCTCTGTATCTTCAGGCAAGATCTCTGAACATAGCTAATTTGCCACATATAGACATCATAAGGGATAAACGATTCACTTTAACGATCGCCTACAGGTAGTGTTGATATTGATCTTGTACTTTTTAAGGTATCAATCCCGTGGATCTACGAGGGTCACGAACGGGAGTGTTTGTTGGATGTTCGGCTTCGGAAACATCCGGAGCTCTTACCCAGGATCCGGAAACAGTTACCGGTTACACCCTGACTGGATGCGTTCGATCCATGTTCTCGAATCGCATCTCGTACACATTTGATCTGCAAGGTCCATCATTCTCAGTTGATACTGCTTGCTCCAGCTCATTGCTAGCACTTCAGTTGGCTGTCGATGCTATTCGTCAGGTATGTCTTGGCCTCCAACCAAACCCAAGTTCATACCTTTACCCACACTTCCACCTATGAATCCACGCATTTCAGAAACAATGCGATGCAGCAATTGTAGCTGGAGCTCATCTAACGCTGACACCAACGGCTGCATTGCAATTTCTACGTCTTGGAATGCTGACTGACAAGGGAAGTTGCCGTTCCTTCGACGATTCCGGCGATGGCTACTGCCGTACTGAAGGAGTGGCTGCAATCTTCATCCAACGCAAATCAAAGGCGAATCGTATCTATGCCACTGTGATCCACGCAAAATCCAACACTGATGGTGAGTTCATGCTCTCAACTGAAAGAAGTCGCAAGACAGAAGGTTTTTTTGATAAGAAGGTTTTTTCAGGCTACAAAGAACAAGGAATCACTTTCCCATCGGGAGAACGCCAAGCTCAGCTCCTCGAAGAGGTCTACAATGAGGCTGGTGTCGACCCGAATAGTGTCTACTATGTAGAAACCCACGGAACAGGAACAAAAGTCGGAGATCCACAGGAGGCTAATGCTATTTGCCAAGTATTTTGTTCTAATCGTAAAGAACCGCTTCTCATCGGATCCGTCAAATCGAACATGGGTCATGCTGAGCCGGCCTCGGGTATCTGTTCGATTGCCAAGGTAGGTATTACTTCAGATTGAGCCTTTGTACTTGTCTTGTGGCACTGGCAGCGCTTAATTTACTTTATGTAACTTTCAGGTACTTGTTGCGATCGAACGCCAGATGATACCACCAAATCTTCACTTCAATACACCCAATCAATATATTCCTGGTCTTACCGACGGTCGACTCAAAGTCGTTACGGAACCTACACCGTTACCTGGAGGTATTATCGGAGTGAATTCGTTTGGATTCGGTGGTTCGAACACCCACGTGATCCTCAAGGCCGCCGATCACACTGCGCCGCCGCTCACTGAGCTACCTTTTACAAAAATCCTAACGTGAGTGCCTCAAATTCAGTACGATTAAGGAGAGATTGTAACTTTATTGATCATTTCAGATATTGTGGACGTTCGCAAGATGCCGTCCAGCACGTCTTCAGCGTCGTCGAGAATAATGTCAACGACGGCTACCTCCAAGCACTTCTTGCCAACCAAGCAAATCTACCAGCCAAAGATACGCCATTCCGAGGCTACATGCTCATCCACAGAAGTGGCGATCAGCCTCCACTAAAAGATGTCGTGAAGGTAAGTGAAGGAATTATTGTGCCCTTCAGTATAAGGAACTGCTCATATTGGACTGATGTAGGTCGCAATTACGGAGCCACGTCCAATCTACTTCATCTACTCCGGCATGGGCTCTCAATGGCCCGGTATGGGTATGAAGCTGATGAAGATTCCAGTCTTTGACGAGTCATTGAGGGCTTCGAGCAAAGTGAGTTTGACGCTTTATTTCAACTCGTATGTCCCTTATGGTTTTTTACCGATGCAAAACTATTTGAATATACATTCTTCCGATTTCCGCATTCCGTCTTGAATTTCTGCGACTCATCCACTGACAACTATCCTTGTTTGCAGACGCTGGAGGAGTTCGGCCTGGACGTGTACGGCATGCTGTGCAATCCTGATCCATCTCAATATCAGAACAATACGCTCAACTGTATGCTCGCCATTACAGCAATCCAGATTGCTCTCACAGACCTTCTGTTCTCTCTTGGTGGGTAAACTCACCCATTGGACTTCTGAAAGTTACCATCAGAGCTCAAAATAATCTGTTACAGGAGTAACCCCTGATGGTATCATCGGTCACTCTACGGGTGAAATGGGCTGTGGTTACGCCGATGGTGGAATAACTCGTGAACAGACAATGCGTCTGGCTTACCATCGAGGAACAACTATGATGAAGCATAAGGAAATCAAGGTAAGAAAACTGGTAGAAGAAGTAGAATGAATTCGTAACATATTGCTGTTATTTCCAGGGTGGCATGGCCGCCGTTGGTCTGACATGGGAAGAAGCCCAAGCACAGTGCCCAGAGGGAGTTGTTCCAGCTTGCCACAACGGTGCTGACTCAGTTACTATCTCAGGAGATGGAGAGAAAGTGCTCGAGTTTTGTGAACAGCTCAAGGAGAAGGGAGTATTCGCTAAGGTAAGGATATCGGAGGGTTATGGATTAATCTAGTAATTAACAGCTAAAGCTGTCAAAGTAACTCACTCTAATTTTTATTAGGCTGTCGATTCCTCGGGCATTCCATTCCACTCGCCAATGATGGCCCGCGTCAAAGAGCCTATGCTCGAGGCAATGCGTACCGCTGTACCAGAACCAAAGCCCAGATCGTCACGCTGGATTTCGACATCGATTCCCGAGGAGGATTGGGAAAGCGAGCTGGCTAGCACTTGGTGAGTATTTACCCTGGTGAGCGAAATCAAGCGCTCTGGAGTGTTTTTCATAATAAGTGCTTTAACTTTGGACGTGTAGGCCGTCGGCCCGACTGTAGGGGGGCGTGCGGTTGATAACAACGTCATTGGTGAAAGGGATGAGTGGGGGGGGGGGTTGCCAAACGCCCTTTCGCAGCCCTTCCACCAGTGATGCTGGCAGTAACCGCACGCGCCCAGCCATCGTGCCCACGGCCTTTGAGACCTAAGTTTTTGAGTATTTTGAGGGCCCATTTTCAGCTCTGCCGACTATCATGTGAACAATGCTATTTCCCCGGTACTCTTCTACGAAGCCCTCCAGAAGATCCCAGCAAATGCGGTTGCAATCGAAATGGCACCACATTCGCTGATGCAAGCCATCCTGCGCCGTTCACTGATGAAAACCGTCAGCAACATTGGTCTCATGAACAAGCCAAAGACAGAGAACGAGAACGAACTCGAGACATTCCTCCAGGTGCAGTTAATACTTCTGAGCAGTACAGTAAAGTCCACTCATTCCCGTCATGATTTTCTTTTATTTCAGTCGCTGGGAAAGATCTATCAAGCTGGCGTGAACATTCGCGTTGAGGATCTTTACCCAGGCGGACGTTTCAAGGGTGTGGTCCCTAAGGGTACACCAATGATTGGTCCAATGTGGAAGTGGGACCATTCACAGGACTGGCCAGTGGTCGATGGACGTCATATGGCTGCTGCTGCTGGTGGTTCAATGTGTGTATCAGCCTCGTATAACATTGATCCGTTTGCACCTGATTCCAAGGTAAGTTGCACAACTGAGCAAGCATCCTTTCATTCTTGGACATTATTGATCCCCTATTATCTTAGGAGTCTACCTTCTCGATCATTGTATCGACGGCCGTGTGCTCTATCCATTTACTGGTTACCTGGTACTTGCATGGAAAACGCTTGCAAAATTGAACGGAGTCGATTTCCAAAAGACTGCTGTCATCTTCGAGAATATCAACGTTTATTCGGCGTGCATTCTGAGCAAACCAAGTTCGTGTTGATTTTTAACTGGTAGTTAACTATGACGTGTACACAGTAGTAATTCCGTTCATTGCAGTCAAGCTCGATTGCGTTGTTACTCCTGGCAATGGAATGTTCGAGATCCTTCATGAAGATCAAGTGGCAGCATCTGGAAGGATCTACATTCCTGAAGACAACCAACCATTCTACTATGGTAAACTAAGTGATATCCGAACATCGGAAATCGCTGACAGAATCGAACTTGACACTGAGGATGCTTACAAGGAGTTCCTTCTACGAGGTTTGTTGTACTATAAATGGTAATGAGCTCCTTGACATTTTTCAAACTTTCGACGCGCAGCGCGCGCGACATTTCATCTGTCCAATTGATATGTCGTAGATCTGATGTACTATTGCATTGCGCGAAAGTCTGAAGATTGGAAAGGGGAACGATCCTACGTATTACTCATTGTTGTGCTTCCATTCTAAACATTGAACTATTCTAGGTTATGAGTACGGACAGGCGTTCCGTGGCATCTACAAGACCTGCAACTCGGGTGAACGTGGATACCTGTACTGGACTGGTAACTGGGTGACGTTCCTTGACTCACTGCTGCAGACAGCCCTTTTGGCCGAACGTGCCGATACACTTCGTCTGCCAACCCGCGTCAGACATCTACGCATTGATCCTGTGAAACATCTTGACCATCTGATTGAGAAGGACGGAATCCAGGTCTGTTTTTCAGCGAATTTTTTTCCTCAATTCCTATGATACCAGTACTGATTCGATGACTGTATAGGTATTTGAACTACGAAATGATCATGCTACTAATGGATGTATCGCTGGTGGTGTTGAGTGCTGTGACCTGACTGCTCACACCGTTGCACGTCGTATTCAGACGTCTGGACAGGTAATACTTGTTAAGGGAAATTTGTTGTGAATGCAGTAGGTTAATCAGTCAACCGTAAATTTTGCTCTTTCAAGCTGTATCACGAGAAAATCTTTTTCGTGCCGCACTATGATGACCATTGTCTGAAGGATTTCGAGAAGGAACGTAAGATGCTCGACCAGTACACTCGAGTACTGAAACACGGTATGTGATACTAGCTTTTCCCCTACTCTTTTGGCTTACCTGAAATGTATGTTTCAGTTGTCGCTCGTGGATTGGCGTCATGGGAAAAGCACGGTATCCTGTCGAGAATGACAAATGGAAAGGCACTGAAGACTGCACTGAAGGTGCTTGCTCCATTTGCTAAGGATAACGCCGCGGAAGCGACAATGCGCAAGTACCTGGATGACGGCAAATGTTCAGTACTTCATGCATTTGATGAGATCTTTGCTCTTGAATTTTCCAACGACATGACTGCCACCGATTTCGAAGCGCTGGTGATAAATAAGTTGAAGAATGTAAAGACCGTGTTCGACTTCGATCGAGCCTGGAGCGCAGCCTTGTCGTTCGACAGGATCATCAAGACCATGCAGGACATCTGTATCGAGAACTCTGCCGGTCACACAGCCAAGATGTGCGCTGTGGAGCTGAATTCGTTCGAGCAGCTGAAGCAGTGCGTCGAGGCCAATCTGTCACACCCGCTTCTGGAGGTATGCAGTAACTTCTCTAGTGTCTGTTTTAGTTGAAAAGTATATTCAAACAAGAGTGGTACTGGTTCAATGCCAAATTTCAGGTGGAAAGCATCTGTGTGGGACCTAATGTTGACCAACTCGATGAAAACTCTTTGGAGCAAGTCGGAGCCCGCAAGGTTCGCCTCACCATTGACGAAAACTTCAATGGGCATAATGACGCGAAGAATATGGACTACATGCTTTTAGACAAGGTTCTTTGCAGGTCAGAGCTCATCTATGATATCACCCTTCCACGAAAGACCTCTTCCAAAATTTCCCCTGACTTTCCGGGACAAATCCCTGATGACTTTTCAGGAAAGCTGATCCAGCCACGTACTTGAACGCTTGCAAACATCTACTTCGCGACGATGGATTTGCCATTATTGTTGAGGTCACTCAGGACTATGAACTCGCAGCTGTAATTCAGGGTCAGTTGGGAATTTGAGCTCTTGAATTGTCGCTATTCCCACGCCCCAGTGCCCGAAGTTATTGTTGTATTCCAGGAATGTTCGGCTATGAACTCTCAGTGAGCCCGGATCGTCGTTTCGGTACCTATTTCACGCATGACGAACTGCTGAAATTGTTCAATGATTGCGGCTTCAAGATCTGCAACTATCAACGTGATCCATCAGTAATGACGACGTGTTATACAATTCGTAAGAATGAGGCTACACCTCGTGACCCGGTATTCATCGACGTTGACGACGTCAAGGAGTTCACATGGATTGAGCCATTGCAAAAGGTCATCGAAGAGCGTCTCAATGAACCCGAGCACAAGACGATTTGGCTCTTAAACACCAAGGTAAGCATAGATACTAACAATAATGGTCAGGAAGAACAGTCAGAGTAATCTCCATTAACGCTGAGGCTGAACATGACCTTTGTTTTGAACTCCCATTCGCACTACCTTTTGCACTTTTGAAATTATCCACTTACCAAATGGTTTCCGTTGTTGAGAGTTGGAATTTTTCGCCCTTTACTGCTAATTGGAACTGAGGATTCTTGCCAGTGTGAACGGCGCTAACGACCTTGAAGGGGCTGTCAGAGCAGGGCTCACCATCCGACTATATGTGAGACAAACAGAGGTCTTATTTGGTCGCGGCACAGAAGGGGTCGTGACTTGCTGTGAGGGACTTTTGCTGACTGCTGATTTTCCCGATTCACTGATTCATGCCCCCCCCCCCCTCCTCACCTCTGCCCTTTGGTCAGCAGCGTAGCAAAACTACTGTAACTTGCTGTTGGAGGTGTCTGCCTCTCCTGCTCGACAGAACGGCGACATTTCCAGAAAAAAGTTGGCGAAAGGAAGGTAGACACTCAACCACAAGTCATGGAAGAAAGTCCTACCGAGGGATGAAATTTTGGCGATCGTATTTAGCCACGTTTTCGCTGGCCGATGTTATTTGCTGTGGTTTAAAGAATCTCTTGTAAAAGAGTAACCATAATGAAAATTCATTGACTATATTGAAAAATCGAACAAATAGGGAACATTGAGGAGGTGGGGGGGGGGAGGAGACCATAAAGGTAGCTCAGCTACGGTTCCGGACGTGCCCTTAGAATACTGGGATTTTTAGATAGCGTAATGGACAGGAATCTAGTCCAATCAACGGGAGATGTAGGTTCGAGCCCCGACTGGGTCAGACTTTTGCCCATGAATCAGAATTCTCGTGATAATCGGGATAAATGTGTCCCTTATAGGATTCCTGTACTTGAGGTAGTTCGCCCACCTCGGCGCTCCTTCTTTCCGTGTAGTTGCGCGGAAGTTCATGCCTCCAGTGTGCTTGTTCTAGTACTGCACAAGGGGTCCTTAATATGGCCCCTCACACTTTATTAGCGCTAATTGTAAGTGAGCTTTGTGTATGTTAAACTATTGCCGATTTCTTTGTAGGTGCGTAATAACGGTGTAGTCGGGCTGGCTCTGTGCTTCATCGAAGAAAATCTGAAATGGAATCGTTTCCGCTCATTGATCGATATGTCTCAAAATAAGAAACGTCGTGAAGGTCCGCCAGAAATCAAGCTTGAGGATCCAAAAACCCAGGCGATAATCGATCTTGATATGCATGCCAACAATTACAAGGATGGTGTATGGGGTTCGCTACGTCATTTTGTCGTCAAGGACGGTATGTGTTTGTGTTCAAATGAAACGTGATTTACTTAAATGTACTTGTAATTTCAACTTTGCACCTTGTCCATATGAATGTCGGTTTTCATTTCAGAAGATGTGCACACGTTTAAACAGTGTAAACATGCTTTCATCAACACGTTAACTCGTGGAGATGTTTCGTCGCTCACATGGTTTGAATCCCCGAATCAATACTTTGATGAGATCGAAGGCCGTGTAAGTACCGGTTTAATTTTTCTGTCGGTTGGCCTGTCTGTCAGTGTGTCGCTGTGCCCGTTTCTGCTATTTGAACAAAACACACCGAATTTGTCGTCTAATTATTCATATCTGATTTAGAAAGACACACATGAGCTGTGCTCAGTATACTATGCGGCTATTAACTTCCGCGATGTTATGCTGGCATACGGTCGTTTGTCCCCAGACGCAATCCCGGGTAATTTCGCTGATCGCGAATGCCTGCTCGGTATGGAGTTTGCTGGACGACTGAAAGATGGCACTCGTTTGATGGGAATTCTTCCTGCTCAGGTAGAGTTTCCTTGTCAGACATTTGAAAGGGCGTTCCCCCAAATTATACCTAGAATGACGCTCTCAGCCACGAATTGACCGCTTCTTTTACAGGCCCTTGCCACATCAGTTATAGTGGACCGCGATTACGCCTGGGAAGTACCAGAGCGCTGGTCATTGGCTGAAGCGGCTACCGTACCAGTTGTGTACACAACGGCGTACTATGCGCTCGTTTGCCGTGGTCGCATAAAGAAGGTTGGCGCACATTAGAAAACGTTGTGGTTCATGAATTTTACAACAATCATAACAGGTATATGGTGGTATATTGTTTGCAGGGTGAGAAAGTGTTGATTCATGGTGGAGCAGGTGGTGTTGGACAGGCAGCGATTGCAATTGCCTTGTCATATGATTGTGAAGTATTCACCACAGTTGGATCACAAGAAAAGCGTGAATATCTGAAGAAGAAGTTCCCTCAACTAAAAGATGTCCATTTCGCCAATTCTCGCTCGGCCGACTTTGAACTGCACATTCGGCAGTACACTAAGGTTTGTGGAGAATTCGAGTATGACTGGATTACTTGAATATATCTGCGCTCCATATCCCACATGGATAGGGCGTGGCTGCGCAGCTCCTTTGGATGTGGCAGATGCAGAACTTCTAATGAGATATTTTCATATTGGGCCAATTGTATCGAGGCTCTTGTCCAGTAGAGAGCAAAATCTGTCTTAAATAGAAAGATCCAAGGGGAATAGCATTCTACACCGTGTTCAAAATGTAGTGCACAGCCACGCCCACCCTATCTCCACGATATGGAGTGCATGCACCGATCGGCTTGTGGGAGGGAGGGCTTTCACTAACCCTTTCGCTAGTGCCTCTTAAGTAGTAAGTTCAACTTTGAATGAACCTGTAAGGCTTTGTGGAGCTGCGAAATGGCACAAGTGAGTCACTCTGACTACAGGAGCTTACAGATCTCTGAAAGTGGCCTATGCAAGTCTTGCTGAGTGTCTTTCGGTGCCCCCACCAAGCCGAATGGCGCCTCTATATACTGACAAGGCTAGAGAACGTTATAATTTCAGGGCCGAGGTGTGAATATCGTCTTGAACTCGTTGGCCCATGAAATGCTGCAAGCATCACTCCGCTGTTTGGCTCGTCACGGACGATTCCTTGAGATCGGAAAAGTCGACCTGGCTCAGAACTCTTCACTAGGAATGTCGAAGCTGCTTGACAATGTGTCAATCCATGGTATCCTTTTGGATGCGATTATGGATCCTACTGTTGGCGATTTCGTACGTTCTGCTTTATTGCTAAAGTATTCTTTAAATCAATTTTAATAATCAATATTTATAGGATGAATGGAAGGAAGTTGCTAGCCTTCTGGAAGCTGGTATCAAGAATGGTGTGGTACAGCCCCTGCCAGCCTCGTTGTTCCCAACTGACAAGGCAGAGGAGGCGTTCAGGTTCGACCTCCTGCTCGTTTTTCTTGCCTACTCCTCTTCTTCTTCGCCCTGAAGTTAAATATACTTTTTTCAGGTTCATGTCCGCAGGAAAACATATCGGTAAAGTGGTGATGGAAATTCGTAAAGAAGAACCACAACGGAAGTGCATTCCGTCCGACATCACTGTACGAGCGGTTTGCCGTACCCTGTGCCATCCCCAGCACGTGTACCTGATCACTGGTGGTCTGGGTGGATTCGGACTTGAGCTTGCTCAATGGCTTATCAACCGTGGAGCCCGAAAGCTGGTGCTCACATCTCGGTCGGGTATTCGAACTGGATATCAGGCACGGTGTGTACATTTCTGGAGAAGAACTGGCATTTCAGTACTGATTTGCACGCTGAACATAGCTAAGGTTTGTTAGCTGAATTTTCTAGGAGCAGTTTGTCATAAAAGTGAGATATTTTCTTTTCAGCGGTCAGATGCCGATGAGCTGATCCGTCAGTGTCTTTCTATGGGACGCCTGGGCGGAGTGTTCCATCTTGCTATGGTACTCCGTGATTGTCTATTCGAGAATCAAAACGTGCAGAACTTCAAGGACGCAGCTGAGGCCAAGTACTACGGTACGATTAATCTCGATCAGGCCACCCGCGTAGCGGCAGACGATGCCCTACGATGGTTTGTCGTGTTCTCATCGATCACATCGGGACGCGGTAACGCTGGTCAGACCAATTATGGCTGGTCGAACTCAACTATGGAACGTATGATCGAACAACGTCGAGAAGATGGATATCCGGGTATCGCAATTCAATGGGGAGCTATTGGTGATGTGGGAGTTATTCTTGAGAATATGGGCGATAATAACACCGTTGTCGGAGGAACTCTTCCACAAAGGTAGGCCTTATATGCCCCTGGCTGTGGACCTGTCATGGAGGTTTAATGAGTCTTTTCAGAATGCCCTCTTGTCTAGCCTCGTTGGATCTGTTCCTATCGTGGAATCACCCGATCGTCTCCTCGTATATCAAGGCTGATATGGGACAGAAGAAGGCTGCCGGTGGTGGCAATCTCCTTCAGGTAGAAGATGTTACAAGTACATTAATGTTATGGCTACGTGACAACTCATACTTTTGATAGTGGGTCCTACTGTGAAAGGCTAGAGCGCAGAGAAACAAAGGACTGCAGCGAGAGGAACAAAAAAAATATGTCGCGAGCTAAGAAATGAGTTTCTTTTCAGACGGGACAGGGTAAAGGAGATAAGCCACTAATTATGAGTGAAAAGTTGGATCATGAAAGGTCAGAGTGGTCACAAAACGCCATTCAGACGAGAGAGTGCTGAGAAAAACAGAAACTGACGCATCAAAGGGATTGAGTTTTAGTTGTCCGTGGAATTAATGCCATGTGATATTCACTATAGATATAGTATAGGGACTTTATTCTGGTTAAGCTGTGCATAAATGTTTTCTGAGCTTACACGCTGTATTCCATGAGTAACAGGACGATAACATTAATGTTTTAGACGATTGCTCATATTCTTGGAGTGAACGACGTCTCCCAGTTGAATCCTGATGCGAACCTTGGAGACCTTGGACTCGACTCGTTGATGGGTGTGGAAATCAAGCAAGCCCTCGAAAGAGATTACGACATTGTACTATCTATGAAGGATATCCGTACGTTAACCCTAAACAAACTGCAAAATCTGGCCGAAAGTGGTGGCCAGGGTGCAACGGCATTGCAACCGACTGAATTGGACATGAAGAAGGAGAGTGAGCGCGATGCCGAGCAAAATACGGTGGAGATGTTGGAGAGACAGATGAATCAACTGTTCAAGATGCGTGTCGATGTTAACGACCTTGATCCTCAGGACATTGTTGTGAAGTGCAATAAGGTCTGTTCTGCTGTTCATAAACCCTAAATTTACTGGGCAGTTAGATGTAATACTGTAATGCGGTAAAATTTCAGATCGAAGAGGGTCCCGTTACATTCTTCGTTCACTCCATTGAGGGTATTGCAACGCCACTGAAACGTGTCATGACCAAATGTACCTTCCCCGTCTATTGCTTCCAGTCAACTAAAGATGTACCACGAGACTCGATTGAAAGTGTTGCCAAGTGTTACATCAAGGTAAGTAACTTATGTTGACCTACCGAAGGCGAAGCTGGATGAGTGACTGCCATGGTCAGGTTTGAAGGCAGTGAATACGATTACTGGAGGAGAACGGTTGTGGGCAGCGTCATTAGTAGAAGGGCTGCGAAGGGGCATTCGGCCATACTCCACTCAGCCTTTCCACCAATGGCGTTGGCCACAACCGCCCACCTCCAGCCATCGTGCCACTGCCTTTGAGCTCGTCACCTCACATGACCCAGCTCCGCCTTTTTCATTGATTACAACCCGAATTAATGGTACATGAATTCAAGGTCGACGATTTCAGGAAATGAAGAAGATCCAACCTGTTGGTCCATACAGGATTGTCGGTTACTCGTATGGAGCATGTATCGGATTCGAGATGGCCACGGTGCTCCAAGAATTAGATGGAGTCTCATCAGTCGAGAGGCTGATATTGCTTGATGGATCTCACCTGTACATGCAAACATACAGAAATGTCTATCGAATGGCATTTGGTGTTACTGGAGATACCCTCGTGAACAATCCGCTGTTCGAATCAGAAATCATGTGCGCAATGACGCTACGATTTGCTAACGTTGATTACAAGAAGTTCCGTGTTGAACTACTCCAACAACCAGGATTCAAGGCGCGGATACAAAAGGTGAGTTTAGGTTTCATTTATGGTGTCGATTGAGCGCACCAACCAAACTCGATTTCAATTTCCGATTTCCGATTGGTCCATTTCGGGAGAAGGCCGAGTCTTTGCTTCAATAGTGGGCGTCATTTCAGGCAGGGCATGTCCTGCCGTTAGGAAAAATTCTTGCAAACACGAGTTCTTCCTTAAAAGTTCCTCCTCCGATACGATCCCCCTTCCCAATTCCCGTTCCTATCGACCATTATCGCAATTTCTTCCTCTTCCTACCACTTTTACAGAGGATGTATAGCGCTCCAGAAACGGTAGAAACCGGAGAAAAGTCAACAAACGGAAAGGTCTTAATCAAAGGCAAATACCACCCTCTCTTTTGAATCTCAACGTACGAAGACCTTTGTTTCACGGGTCCCGTCTCAGTCATTTCCTTCATGATATTCACAGGATGTAGCCCACAGGGTGTACCATATTTGTGTAAAACCCATCGGAGGGCCGTATTCGGTCGTTGGAGGGAACGGGGTCGTATTTAGGAGTATTGAGGAATTTTCTTAATTAGTAATTTTCTCGGTTTGAGACGTGCTACCCCACCACTCCCAGTTAGCGGCAAAAACATTTCCGGAAAAACTTGTTGTGATGGTAGCTATTCTCGGAATCCGCAAAATGCGGTGAGCGTGGTTGCGTACTTCATTTGATAGTGTAACTGCGCTTTTGCTGAGAGATTGTCCTTTTGTGGCAACTGTACTCATGTCTCCTTTCAACAGTAGGCGAAATACCAGCTGTTACAAGTTGCAACTTCCACGAATACGAATTCCACTGGTGATCCCACGGCCACGCCTACCGTGCTTCAAGAAACTCGAATGAGGTCCGCCTTGTTCACTGCGGATGATGGGGCGTCAGGGAGGCTGGACTTGGCGCGTTGCCATGCCGTTCTCCAACAGTTTTTGAGGCCGGTAAACGACAACAACTTGTGGAAAACGGCTGATCCGAACAAACTGATGCAGTCCTCTCCCTGTGGGAGAAAAAAAACGTACTGGCGCCGTGTCAAATCGATTCCCCTTGACACGCCCCATCAACCGCAGCAAATGGACTCCAGCTTTGAGGGCGGGGGGAATCGGTGAAAGGGAAAATTTGGGTGTAGGGATCGCGCTGAAATCGCTATTTTACCCATCCTGATGTTGTACCTAAAATCTTTGGCCTGTATTCTGTTTCGCCGGACTAAAGTGTTTTGGTCTGGAATTGTTAACGAGTTAGTTGTTATTTAGGTTGTCGACACTGTGATGACCACGGGCCTCTTCAAATCCCCCGAAACTATCGCGTTTGCCTGTGAAGCGATGCGATCGAAGTTCTTGATGGCAGACAAGTGAGTCGTGTTCAGAGTGAAAGTTCATTTTTCTTCAGTAAACTGAAGTGTATAGTAAGTGCATGCACTGCAATACAAAGATTGTTTCTTCAGTTACTAGCCTGAAAATGAATTCACAGTTCATATAACATATTTTGTAGATCTGAAGTGCATGCAGTAAAGTACAAAGATTGTATTTTCAGATATAAACCTGAACGTAAATTTGCTGGACATATCACACTGGTGCGTGCTGAACAAGGAGCGGCTCGTGAAGAGGACGTTGGTACCGATTACGGTATTAGTCAGGTGGCGGACGACTCGAAGGTGTATGTAGTCGAAGGAGATCATGACACATTTGTACAAGGCAAGAGCTCAGCGAAGACGGTAGCAATCATTAATGAACTCATTAAAGAGACGTACAAATGCTAGAAAAAGGTCACAAACAAGTAAGTAAACAAGTAAACAAACAACAATGAGTGACATGTGTATGTATGTATGTCTCGAGGAGAAAAGTATATTTTTGAGAGCACTATGTTATGTGATGTGATGATGATTGTGATGTGATGTGATTTGTTTTGTGTCAACCACAGCCCCGTCTTCCAATTTCCTTGCTCAGATCCATCGCCCGGCACGGGTGGCCTCATAGTTTTAGTTAGGTTTTCAAACTCAAATCGATTCTCCACAGGAGTTTCCTCGGAATGCGAAGAGTACAGTCGCATCATGGAGTTCTATGAAACGGTACGATTCCATGCATGCGGCAGGATTTGCAGTGCAGCTGCTCGGCTGGTATCTGAGTAGCATCTTTTGCATGCATTATATCCACCAATAAAATGCGCGACGCGCTTAGATTACAGAGTTCTATATAAAAAAAGTTATTATACAAAGAGTATATATAAATAGTCTATAAGCAGAACCAGACAGAGCAGAGCCACGAGCAGGCTGAGCTGAACGGCCATGGAATCGTGCTTGTACAATTCGTCGAACAATTTTAAGAAAAAAAGATTATTGAGAGCTTTCTCTTATGATGTTTTCTGATGATTGATGATTTTCTCTGATGATGATGATTAGTTTCGTGCGTACGTTACTTCATTGATTTTCGCCATATTGACATATAATTTTGATAGTTTGTGATTGAGTGTTCCTTACAAAGTTATTACTTATCTTTCTCGTATTTTTGAAATAATAATTTCGCATAGTCCGTCACGGTGGCTAACTGTATTGAGAGTTCTTCGACTAGGGATTGATTTGAACGAAGAGGAACTCCAGTTTGTTTTTCTTTTATTCAATAAATCTCATATGATACTGTTTGTGTACTACATTATTACGCAATGTTTTGCATGAGATATGGACGCCGTTCAGCTTAGAGGAAGTGGAGGGGGGACATTTTGCACTCCCGCTGGTCTCCGTTGTTACTTTCTGCTGAATGAACGTCTCACTTGTCTATAGACTCTTGCCAAGTGTAAAAGAAACTGCTGCTCTTGCATAACTTTACAGGTTTACAGGTCTTCACAGGAGGCATCAGCGGTGATCGATGGGTACCAGCAAAATGCCCCACCAAGCTGAATTGCGCCAGAACATGTAACAGAAGGTGTTTGTAGGACGCTTGAGTTCGTCGTGGTGACTCACAAGGTCTTACTACCGGTCTAGGAAAGTCGAAATATCTTCCACCACACGGTTGAACTCGCCCACGAGCTGGGAATGGTCTTCAGAGTTCTGTCTGAAGCTTCAGAGTTTTGTCTGAAAGATAGGGTGAGAAGGGAATACCAGCATCGCCCATCAAAATTCCCGATTTCCGACTTTTCTATCAGTTCGGTCCTTGTCAGCATCGCCTTTCAGGATTTTCGAGTTCCGCCTCTGCCATCGGTTCGACCCCAGTATCGCCTACAAGATTTCCGACTTCCGACGTTGCTATTAGATCTGTCCTTGACCACAATCCTTACACACTCCAAACTCCTGCTCAGAACAGCAAGTAAAGTGGCGGGCGCCAGCCCGTTCACTTCTGTCGACAAGCCACATGACTGTATCATATCGTTCGTATAAACCTTTTCCCACCAACTGCTGTTGCTCGCCCGGTTCAACAATTGACCTGGCAGCACGCCAAAGCCAGCCTCTCTGGCACGGCTCATCATCCGCAGCGAACAAGACTTTTGCATGGTCTATGTGTCTTTTCTGAAAACTAAACTGAGGAAACAGGATTTAAACCGGAATGAACGAATCCGTCACAGGTCAATTTCATTCGAGAATGCTTTTAAATGAATTTTTATTGATCCGTTTCATTGTACTTCATGGAGTGCACGACCAGCGCTTGAGCCTTTTGCGTGAAAACGGACTAACAATAAGAAACTTTGGCGCAATTCGGCGATCTTTGTCTCAAGAGGAATCGATTCAGTCGTTTTTCCAGATAAAATCAACTCGATAGGTCTCATGTTGTGCAGTGAGCGCGCGAACCCTATGCCTTTATCGGTATAATCGGCCTTTGATCGAGAATTGGACTTGGTTACGAGCTGGTTTCCTTCGCTGGGTATACGAATTCAGGGACGAAGTGAAAGTACTATTACGAGATGGAAATCCTAGTCTTCGTTGAACAAGGCTAGACGCAGTTCGGCGACAAGAGGGGGAATTATGCACTTTTGCTACTTCGACGTGGCGAACTGTCAAATAGAGACCTGTAAACACTTTTAAAGCCACGAAATGAGACCAGATAAAGTCGGTAGAGATCGCCTGCTAATTCCTGTAGAGGAGTGTCAACTTTATTGAAGCACTAGAGTACCATCTAAATAACATTTACCATGGTGGCTCGACGAGGTTGCTCCAGCTTCACAAGGGTACACAGGTTTCATCACCGTGCCACTAAAGTGGAACTAGAAAAGCAACGCCACTGTGAACAGGGCACCTCATTGGTTAGGGATTTGGTCCAGTCCGTAAGACCCCCTTCGCCTAACAGTGATCAAACACGACCCAACACCCCTCCCTTTACAACGTCCCTTGATCAAGAAAAATCAGCTCAGCTATCAACTAGTAATTTTTCAGACCAAATACGACCCCCTCCCCTAGCTACCAGATCGACCCCACTCCCAGTTGGGAAATCTCCAACAACGACGTGCCCTGGCTGTGAAATGCCCCCTGCTCTGTCGTAAACTACGCCAAAGGCTATTCAGTCATAAGACGCTGACCACAGACGGTTTTTAGGCCCGAAAACGTTACGGAGCTGTCCAGTATCGCCATTCTATAGAATTTTACGAGTTTTTGTAAGCCTGACCGTTTTCTAAGACACCAGACGGTCTACTCTCCTAGTATTGGAGTAGTCGCTTGAAGAGGGAGGGAGGGGAGGGGAGGGGAGGGGAGGGAGGGGAAGGAGGGAGGGCAGGGAAGGAGTCGCTCTGTGAAGCCACTTCAAGTAACGACCTCTAGCGTCGGGGTAGTTGCTTGAAGTGGCTTCAAAAGGCTTTGCAACCTTTCCGCACAACTCCCTTGGGAACACTCTCAGAAGAACGAAATCCAGAACTGCAAATGGAGAACGGACGAGATGCGTCATGTCGGTGAAGTGTCGTAAAAAACGAAAGGGAAGAACCAGTTGAGTTCGAGTGTACGAAAGGCTGTTCATCTCGTCCTATGAACGTCACTGGGGTGGTGTGATGATCCTTCCTCAATGTCAAGCTTTCCTCTACGATTGCGAATATCGTAGGCGACTTGGGGCTGACTCATACAGCCGCCGGCGGGGGGCTGGTTTGTAGCCAACGTACAGGCCATTATCAATGCATATCGCCAGTCTTCCCTATTTATCTCTGCTCTTTTCACTCGCACTGCTTCTTATTCCATTCACTTCGGCTCTACGAGCACAACGGGCTAATCGAAAATCACTTGCACATCTCAAGGAGGTGCTCAATGAGGAAACTGCTCGGTGAGACCTTTCATTCTGTACGTTTTGGTGATTTTTCTTGAAATTTTTCAATCACAGAAAAGAGTCCGGGAGCTTATAATCTAGGGAGGAACCTATAGAAGATTGCCTGTACAAGCTTGAGAATTCCGCCAGTACGGATAGGATTAGTGTCCTTGAATTTGCACCGGGGCCATCTATTCAGGAGCTTGTCTTCCCACAAGGTGAATCACTCTAAGGAACTTTTCTGAAAGGACCATCTGACAACCCTATTTGGGAGATAGTAAGTATAAAATTCGACATCATGCCGAGGTTTCTAGAAGAGTCTTCTGGATGGATCCATCTGAAAGTATCCGGAGGCTAAAGCGCTATCGATTAGGCAAAATTCGTCACTTCTGTGCTCCAGTCCTCTACTCACAGTTCTGAAATGGTCTTTGAATGCCCGCAGATTATTAGCACCAACAATCTCGGTTTCAATGGCTGAGTTTACTTTTTTGACTGCTCTCCCCGGCCTGTGTGATTACTATCTGCTCAGTTGGTCCAATGCTCCAAATTTTGAGATTAAAAATCATTGGGGGCGCTTAAGTGGGCGTACGATTGCTGACTAGAAAATGAAGGGGCCGAAAGATGGGAAGTTTGGATATCTCAAGCGCTTCGACTTCTCAGATGTTCCCTTTAAAACTCATGAGATCTCCCTCCAGAAACCGAGTTCTGGGATCTCTCCTTCAAACCAACTTGGAGAAAACCCCGGTCTAGTCAGTGTGGGTGTGTGTTTCTTGTTCCACATGGGTCCAATCAATTATGCATGGCTTCGGGCAGGTTTCTTAGCCGGCTAAGCATGACCCACTTACTTGCAAGAGATGTTTCGATGCCTGTTCTACCAGAAATCATTTGAATTTAGATTGGTGAACGCTAGACAAAACGATGCGGTGGATCTTTTCGGGGATATCCAACGAAATCCAAATGCGAAAAGTAACAAGGTGAATTTTCGCATGGATCGATAAAACGCTATCGATTACGCAATTGAACGCGAACATTGATTTTTCCAGGATGAGCTATCCGTTAATAACCCGGAAGACTATTTCCAAGGTGATGTCGATTTATCGGAACAGCAAGTTCAACAAATTGAAAAATCATTCACAGAAGGGCATCGTGAAAAGCGAAAAGTATGAAGCTGTTCAGACAAGTTACTGCCTGTTCCATTTAATAACATTGCTACAGTTACCGGTTTAGATCGGCCGTACACCGCTCTATACGCTATGGGATCGTAGGCGTGCAATAAGTTTTGATTTCACTGAGACCGTTCCAAGGCAAACTCGTGACAAGATCCGGTACGTGATCGCATCCCATTCATCCAGAGATCAAAAGCACCTTACTTCTCAGTAATTGTATAGGGAGGCTATGAAACTTTGGCAATATCATACGTGTGTTCGATTCGATGAAGGTGGTCCAAGTGTGGATCGTTTGGAGTTTTTCGATGGTGGTGGATGCTCATCATTCGTGGGAAGAGTGGGAGGAACTCAGGTAACTCGTATACTAACGGATGAAAAACAGCATTCCGCTCAGCTAGGAAGTCTGGAAACTTCTTAAATGAGAAGTGGGGCTGGAAGAATTTGACGGTAACATTGGAATGAAAATGAGCCTGAACATGTACATGGAAGCTTCAAGGGGAGCGTGGCAAGTCTCCCGGTCAGTTCATCCAGCCACATTGTGTGGGTTTTCTCCGCTCGTAGAGATCCTCAAGACCTATTTCTCATATGAATGAGGATTCTATAAAGACTTATCACTCGTTCCGTGAGTTCCTCATTTCAAAGAGGTCGTGGAACCTTTTTGAATTGATATTTTGAGATTTTCAACACTTTCCAGCTATATATTACATCTAGAAATTTATTTGGCTAAATTGCAAACACTGAAACGCAGCGATTTACAAGCCTAGTTGAGTAGTACGACACTGAGGAAGGGGAGTAATTCTATTAGACACTTTTACCGCTATCCGCTCAAAATGAGATATCCGCTTGCGGTTGGTAGTGACCGGACCTATCGAGAGACTGCTCAACTCCCAGCTCCAAGCATTTACTAGTCATACTGATGTGCTAAAATCTTCTCAATCCATTACAACATTGCGCAGTTCGGTCGATCCGATGGGGAGTGGCCGAAATTTGTCGACGGACGCGATTCACCCTTTTCCTGGGTGCGGAAAGCGCTTTCGTGTACGAGTATGCCTGACGAGGCAATTTTAAATCTGCTGTAGGTAGACTGTAGGGCCATTTGGTTAAAAGGACAGTTGGCACGATAATTGTGGGATTTGGCCTAAAATGCTAGCAGGCGCTATTTATAGTGGAAAAATGGCGAAAGAACGGACTGACCTCTCACAATCCTTTGCGAAGAAGAGCAATTTGTTCTTAATGACTTGAAAAACAATTTCGTACGAGTTTCCCGTGGGCATCTTGCCAATAACCGCTGCCGTAGATACGGCTGCATGTGGTGTACTTATATATCCATGCAGCAGCGGTCCAATAACTTTGCCTTCATAATTGCTTAGCAAATACAAACAATACGAGCGGCGTCAGGACAGGCGTCCATTTGTGGGCGGCGGGCGTGATGGGCGTTGGTCGCGTATCCTACTCATAGGTATTCATAGCCTCTAACAAGCTCTAAGTGCGAAAGGTAGTGTAGGTTCCAATCGCATAACTCTGCACAATTTTCCCGTCAGAAAATTGCAAGATAGAGGCTAGGTGCAGAGTTTACTCGAGCGGGATCCATCTGACGCAAGTCACCCACGTTGGTGTCCGTCGTCGTGTGGTTGTCTTCTTCGTGTCTGGTCTCCCCCTGGAGTCCCAAGGAATCATGGCTTCTGCTTCGTATTAGAATCGCAGTGCAACTGGAAGGGCCTTATAGAGGGCGTACCCGACAAGGTCCACACTTTGTTCCTTACGGGTGATTAAGACAGCGCTACACTTATGTTTTTCAAACCGGGTTCCTACGATCACATAAATTGCGAAATATGTTTTTGGCTTCTGTCAACATACGCCGACTCTTCCCGGGCTTATTTTGCTACTATCGTGGATGTGATTTCGGAAGGAACCAGTTCGTTACATTTGGTAGCACTGCAAGTCTTTCAGGGGATCTGCGAAATTCCCTAGTGGTTTACCAGGGGTGAAACAGAATGTCAGCTCCCCGCTTTCTGACACCGACTACCGACAAACGAGAAAACGCTGGTACAATGAATGCCGTGGGTCATGGAATGAAGGCTGCGTGAAAGGTGCGCCTCAATTGCATTGAGGAGCAGTGATAGCGCCGGCTAGTTTTTGGTAGGCCCTTCGCGCGCGATAATCGCTATGGCACGCACCATCCATAGGTTTTCTCTCTCTGGCTGGAAGAAAAAGGGTGGGGAGGGGAGGAAGGGAGGATGCAAGAATTTGTTATGAAGTTCGTGGAAATACTGTTCTCGCAGAATTTACATCTCTACAAGAGCGGAATTTGCATGACTACATGACGGGCTCACTCCATCCCCCCCCCTCATTCCCTCTACACCCCAGACCCAAGGAAGAATCCTTACAACGTCTTTTATCAGGGAAGTATTCGGGAAGCTGGTGTACGAATGAAACTGATGCTATTGCTCCTTTATAGAGACGCAGGGAGTTGCCTTTGAAGCATTGTCACCTTTCCCCACGAAACCTGTTGTCCGAAGGAAAAGATGAACATACAGTTCGGAGCCCATGCAAACGATAGATCGTGTGACGGGGCGTAAGTCGGAGCTTTGCCGAACGGCCTTTTCCACCAATGATGTTATCCTGAGACCGGAACCGTCGGCGAGATTGGCTGTTCTGGCTCCGCTTCAACTCACGCCCCTTCACACGCCCTTTGCAGGGAAGGGAAATCCTAGATACGCGAAGCGTCATCGGGTGGTCACTAGGAGATTTGGGCAAACTGGGGTCGAACCTTATTTCTGTGTTCCGTGCATGTTCCCATACAGGGAGGGTACAGCATCTCGTGCGAAACACATGAATGGGGTCATACTTTTCAGCTGGGGAGGGAAGGAGGGGTCGTATTTGTTTCAAGAGAAATCTGCCGCGTTGGGGAGACATTTCCTTGTTGTTGACTTTTCGCGTGATTTTTCCTGTTTCATGTGTATACTGGCACCAACATTCCACACAGTGCGGTGCTGTACCCTGTTCCCGTACAACATTCAGAAGCCATTGTGGAAAATCGCCCCACATTCCCAACGACCTCACACATAAGTCCGGGATCACGGTCTTTCCACTGGAAAACAGCGCTGGATTATGAAGAGTTACCTGTGTTATGACTAAATTCTAATACGTAGAAAAGTTCCATGTGATTTCAAAGTCAAATCATTTTTCACCTTGGGCGTTGCCATAAACAGCTAGTTTACTGCATATGAGAAATCCACTTCAGCCTTTTTTCTATTTCTTCGCATCATATCTGTCAATCGTTTGTCACTGATATGATAAATTTCACTTGTGGCCTAATTTTATTGACATCTTTACAGCGAGAACTAGGGAGTTTTGCGAATCACTGCCGAAACACCAATGGGCAAGCAACTGTTACATATTGGAGTGGAGGGGTCGGCAGAAAGGGACATTTTGCCGAAGGGAAGCAGCATCAAAATTTAGTCGCTCAAAGTGGGAGTATACCTGGAGAGCTCACGTAGGACTACTCTCCTCTATAAACAGCAACCAGCGCTCTGTCTCTCTAGCTGTCGCGAGAAGGAGAAGTTATCCATCACTGCAGCCGAGCGCTTGTAAAGGCCTGCAGTACTTACTCAGCCTGAAGCGGCTCCCAGTGTGGGCTGAGATGCTCACGTGCAAAATCCTGGAAACCGTCGCTCTAGTACTAGAACCGGCCGTCGGAATCTTAGGACATCGATTTCACGATGGCTCACAGTTTGTTTCTCATCACTCGTCTCGGCCGTAGTCAAGTTGAGGCGCTCTGGGATATCGGGCACGTCTGCTCGACAGATTCTGGCGATACAAGGCTAAATGCAGTACCTTAACGTCTGACCTCGTCTATCGGCGCATCGGCGCAAAGTACTTCTAGGGGTACAGTCCGTGAACGACTTCTCTCTGGCTTCGTTTTCTTAACACTGGAGAAAGGGNGCCTCGTCAAACTCAGCCCCCCCCCGCTTCAGCATCCGCGCAGCAAACAACCTGTAAACGATGACGTCTCTTTCGTTTTTCTGTTCAACAATTTTTGCTGAATTTATTCTAATTAATAACTTCTTTCAAATTGTTCTTATTGCTTGAAATCTGGGATTCTGAGTGATAGTGATATTAATGCACGTTCCCGAGTGCCGCTCCAATCTCCGCTTATCCCAATTGAGGTGGGTTGTCCCAGGAATACACTCACACTGTCAGCGTGATTGTTTGGAATCAGTCTAGGTATACATTCAGTGCTGGTTGGGAAGGACTTAGTCAGTTTTGCCTTGCACGTTCCTCAGTGGTGCTCGCCCTTCTCTTTGCCATCTCAGAAGACGAGGGGAATAGCCGGAGCACTCTATTCACATGGCTCCGCCCACACAAGTCCAGCGTGGAATAAGCTTTTAACAGCAAGGAATCAAAGATATTTTTGGATCAAGGAAAGCTCACTGACTAAGAAAGAACCGACAGTGCTCTAACTATAATAGCTCTGTGTACTACTGTAGTAGCTCTCTGAGCAATTCAGTGGCGAGATCATTGAGAAGCTGTTTATTGTTCAGCTGTAGAAGGGGTAGGTGAGAAGTCATCGTTCTTGCGCCCCTTTGGTGGCATGCTTCAGCTTAAATCAGGTAGTAGTGAGTTTTTGCAAAAGGCAGACGTTTCCAGACGCGATCTGAGTGCTGAGTGCAGTCGAATTTCAGGGCATTTCCATTGCTACGCCTGGTTGTGATCAGGTAGGCATCATTAGCCATGAAATCGGGCACGCTCTGGGAATATTCATGAACAAGCTCGTCCTGACCAGGTAAGAAGACCTAGAACACTAGGTTTTTCAGTTCCTTCTGAATATGTCGGACATTTTAAGGGAAAGACATATAGCTATCAACTACCACAACATACCCATCAGCGATGGAATAATTTCCAGTCTATAGGACCAAGTTCAAGCGGAAACGTTTGGTCTGCCCTATGACACAGGTATGATAATTCCCTCTATGTTCTTTTTTTCCCTCTTCACTTTGCATATTCCGTGACGGTTAGACCATCCTACCATATATATCGGCTATGCCCGTACGTGCTGTGTGTCGTCTCTCTGTTCGTTACGAAATTCACAGCACCAAAAGAAGAACCTGGAAGGATGGGGTCATAATAGAGATGGATAGGGCATGGGACAACATGTAAATAGCGGCCACGGTATGCCCACAGTGGGCGGGGCGTGCGCCGAAAATAGCGATCTCATTGAAAAAATCATAACTCAGTTCTGGAGCAGTCCCGAGATGGGAAACAAGCAAAAAAGCCATAATTTGCTACAAAGCAGCTCGGAGATGGGGAAAAAGTGGAATAAGGTTAGCATTTGGTTGGCGCGGCAAATGAAGGAGACGCACCCGAGATAGGCTGGGCGTTATTGAGATGGGCGGTGCTCTCCACAAAGGTCGGTAACTCGGTCCCCGAAAAAGTTTAGAGACCGCAGAAAAGTCCATGACGAAGACGATGATCTGTTAAGAGTCAACCATGTTTGGGCATGCTCCTGGTAAACAATATCCACCTATCAGAACCTTCCATATAGCTTTCTGTGTACTTTGTACTAGTCAAAATAGAGTTGATCTACAGCTACAGCTCTGCCCTCCTCATACATGCGAGGAATCCACCTTCCAGTTAGTCGTAAATTAAGCTCTTAGAGATACATCTTGCACTAAATGCATAAGTGGAAGAATGAGTGGAAATTCACAGCGTTGTCTTCCTCAATAACAGGCCCCTACTTCTCTAAGGCGAAGGGGAATGGCGCACATGTGGAAAGTGCACAGTGGTTATGAGTGTCAATGTGGGCCATATATGACTGATACAAACCTCAGCTGGCCCGCACAACTTATTATATGGGTCATATATGGACTTCAATGCGTCTGAGTTTTGCGTAAATTCTGGGATTATTTAAAGGCGATCTTGACCTTCTCTATGCTCCCTTATCAAATAGAGCACACATACTCACAGGGTGGTGCACCTGAGGTGAAACAACTATTTACAGGGTCGGTAATGCACTATGGACCATACGGGTTTGCATCAGACCCTTACACACCAACAATTAGAACCCTCGAACGTGGCCAGCAGTCCACAATCGGTCAAAGGATTGGACCATCATTTCTGGACTATCAAGCGGTGTGTGATGACAGCTTCCTCGTACTTTATTAACTTAAATACTTGATTTTATACCAGATCAACACTGCCTATGGCTGTAGCAACCATTGTATGCCTATCAACTGCTTTCACAATGGCTATGCTCATCCAAATAACTGCTCCATGTGTGCTTGTCCAGATGGTCTCGGTGGACAGTTCTGCGAGACTGTTCTTCCTTCTATCGGCTCATGTGGAGGCACATTAACGGTGGGTTTGAAACTGAAAGCATTAGATTGAAACCTACAAGGTGACTAATAACTGCGATTCTTCACGTCAGCCAGAGCGCTGTTTGTATGCCGAGGCTTTTTTGAAAACAGTTTAATCACTTGTTTTCTGATCACTGCACTTTTCGCTTGATTAACTTTCCCTCAAAGTTTGATTTGGTTTTTATAAAGTTCCTCTTTCTTGTGGGAAACTGGTAGTTAGATTTTTCTCCGAAGAGAGTTTGGAAAAAGGGTCCTGCTCATATGCTCAACAGTTGATATCGTCGCAATCAGTCGGGGTGGTTTTGAGAGGGGTGGAATGAGTCCACCCGAGGCGTTCTCATTACTGGTTGTTTTCTTCCCAAATTGATCGATAACCGATCACCATTGGTTGAGCAAAGCATCCGAAGGCGTGCTCATTCCGCCTCTCCTGACTACCTCTGCCTCTTACCTCCCCAGTCCAGACGACCTAATGAAATATATACAGCTTTACCTCAACAAATCCAGTCAAATAAAAAAAAGATTAAAAAAGAGAAAAAGACCTCCAGTAACAGGTTGTTTACTGTTCACTCGCAGAAATCACTTGCAATTGCAGAACCGCTATTTTAATGATGTACATAATTAAGTGCAATCACAGCGGTCACACCTCAATCCCCTGAAGTGTTGCTGAGTAGCATAAAGAGGAAACACTCCAGATTAGGGTAAAGACTGAAAGGGTGAGGCTCCAGGTGACAAAATTTCATGCTACTGGTAACCGTAGAGACTTCTGAGCGCAAATCTCATCTGGTGTCGATTATGGGCTGCACTAGGTACGAGTAGGGCTATTGGAAATCAAAAAGGGCCTCCACGCTGTCTTTCATTGGTCTGCCCGCTGACCGTGCTGGCAAGTGACGCGATTCACCACTGCGCGCAGTCGAGGGGGACTTCGGGTTCTGGAGAAAGCGAGAGGAGAGAAATGTCTGGCCTAGTAGAGGGTTCCACCCAGCCACCTCGTCTTTGGTAGAAGTATAATTCGGAACGAGCCTTTTCATAGATCAAAACGAAATTTCTACCGCATCAAAGGTGAGGTACGGCTTTCAAGAACTCGTTTGCTATGTGGAACGGATTTTATCCGGAAAAGTCGCAGTTCTAATTGAAAAACGAGAAGCGAAGCGAGCTCCAAGTACCGGCTTGGAGCGATGACTCACAAGAAACAAGCTAGGGGATCCTTTGAGAAGGTTTCACTCTATCTAGAACTTTCTCTCGTGATTGATGTTACTGGTAAAGTAGAGCTAATGATATCGTCCTTGAAAGTGTTCAAAAGTTGGAAACTTCTGACAAATTTTCGTATGTAGAAGTTAATCGACCATTGCTAAACTGCGCTGAAAACTGGGTTCGAAAGACTGTTTCTCTTCACTGAAAACCTGACTGAAGTTTTTTTGTGTCTTCATTCGCAGCAAGGTCGGCTGATAAGATCCAGTTTTTTTCCAGCATGACAATAATTCTTGTACATATACAGATGCTATCTGAAATGACGTATTCCAAAAACTTGGTACATGCCAGGTACAACAATCTCACAATTACTTTTTCTGAGTGAATACGTCGTAGGACAACAGTTCTGCCCAATCAGTGGCTCACAATGAGCCTAGATCTGGAGAAATTCCCACATCTATTTTAGGCAACGTTCAGGCTCCGCGAGTGGCGCGTCGACGCGCTATAACGCGCTGTAACACGCGTGACGCGCCACAACTGCAACAGCGCTCCAGAGCTATAGACGGGAACGCAGTCGCAGGCGCCCAGTGCCGATCAATACCAGGCTGCGTGGCTGGGCAAGACCTACGATCCTATTTCCCTGTGCTCTCGAAACACAAGCGGCTGCCGCCCATCGATTCCCGTCTGCGGCTGCGTTCGCGTCTATGGCTTCGGAGCGCTTTTACAATTGTAGCGCGTCATCACGCGTCATCTCGAGGTCTTAACGCTGCCTTAGTGGGATTTTTTAGCTACAGAGAATCGAACGCTCTGTTGTAGTAAACACATTCCACTAAGAGCAGTTTGATAACAAAAAATCCACGTATCTCGGCCCATGGTACCGCCCTTTCATCAAACTCCACCTCTATCCAGTTGCTTTAGACGCAATCAGTCGGGGCGGTATTAAGAGGCACTGGATGAGCCCACTCGCGGCTTTTTCTCCATTGGTTGTTTTCTTCCTAAATTGTTTTTTGACCGATTACTACTTTCATTTTTACTAGCCGGAGCGGGTCCCGACAGTCCTAATCCCACCGTGACTGACTGGGATGATCTCAACTATACCATCTCGAGGTAAAACATTACAGTCACAATCATTTTCTCTGCAAGCGAGGCGGCGTGGCGGGTCTGGATTGGAGTAAAAGCAGCCTGTTCCGCCAAAGGATGCCATTCTGAGCCGGCAGCAATTGGCAGAAAATGCTCCCCGGCTGAGCTCCGCTCCACGCTCCCTCTCACGAAGGGTAATGATTGGACCTCAGTGTAACCGCGAAGGACTTGGGAATGAACTTTTCGAAATTGAATTGCTCTTTTGTAGGCCTCTACAAATGCACAATATATTTCAAGTCCAAAATATCCACATCCTCATTCTCAAGGCACGGAATGTTTCTGGATCCTTCGTGCGGCACCCGGTTAGTTACAGACAAACAAGTCTTGCCATGATAGTGAACTTTGGACATTGATTACTGCAAAGTTCAAACATCTTACTTTAGGTGGGCGTGTTTTCTTGGAATTTATGGACAATTTCGAGTTTTACTGCGAAGACACATGTGATAAGAATTATGTGGAAGTGAAATATCACAACGATAAACGCCTCACAGGATCAAGGTGAATTACGGGGGCTGTGACGTCACTTTCAAGCTCTTTCAAAACTCAAGGATGTTGAAAATAATGTTATCGTGCAGGGTTATCAAAATTTCAATCGGTCATAATAACCTGTGTTTTCGTGCGGGGGAGAAAGAGACGGTGCTTCTCCTTGTTTTTGTGTGAGATGGAAAAAAAATACGGGAATACCTGGACTATGCCCAGGGACTTTTCAACGGCTGCTTTTACAGGTAGCAAATTTTATTTGCTCGCCCGTTGGAATACACCCGAGCGCGAGCCAGAATCCAGTGAAGGAAATTAGAAAGGAAAGAAACCCCAAGTCTAACTAGGGAAAGCAAAACGAGGAGAAGACTCAGTAAGAGAGAAGAAAATGACTCAAAAATCCAAAAAAAGTATCCATCGAAGAAAAGCGATGACAAAGCTTCCCAAAACGCCCTTAACTAGGTCCTTTAATATGGAGTTCTGAACAAGCATGCAAAAGAGAGGCGAGGTGAAACTGCTAGCGCAGACGAGAGTTAGAGACGATGGATTAGAGATGAGAAATGCGAACAAGACGATAGACATAGTCTACGACAGAAACTCCGCCCTCCGCGGTAATACTCCGCCTTTTGCGTGATTTTCAGATTTTTCCACAAAATTTCGACCTTTTCCGCCTCTCTCACACCTAGTTCTCTAATCCATCGTCTCTAACCTCTCGTCCCTAGTTCTGGAAACTACCTTCAAGCCCCGCCCACTATATGGGACACCGCCCATTCCACTCCTAGGCTTTTGAAATCAGCCATAAGAAGCCAAAGCCCTTTAACGGTCTTACAAAGATATGGAAGAAATGCTGTGAACTGCTTGTTCCACCTTTGGAGCCGCGAAATTGATGTAAACTCTGTAACTGCTTGACCTCGGACTACCGGTAATAGGGCGAGGTGTTAATTAACAGACGATCGCGCTGGGTCTTGAAGAATAATCACTTCTCTCGCACCTGTTTACGACCTCAAGAGTTCACGTTTTTCATTGAAAATCTTGTTCCAGGCATTGCTGCTCGGTAATTCCTTCACAACGTTTCGCTTCCTTCGATAATGAGATGATAGTTATCATGAGAGCCTATATCGGTGGTTATACAGGATTTCGGGCCAGATTCTGGTCGGATGTCATGGAACCAGTTGAGGTGGGATTTTTTCAGAACGAGGCTGGTTGATTCTGTCAAATCCAGGTGGGGGGGGGGGCTTGTTTCATTTGGTGCATCAGCGGAGGCTTTGTGGATCAGTCGTTATAGTATAGTGGAAAATCCAACGAGGCTGTGTCAGGAGGCGTGGAATGAGCGCACTCGCAGTTGCGTTTTTTACCAGTAGTGGACGGGCAGATAGAAAAGAAGCACTGGTAGAGAACGCTGTGGGTGGGCTCATCCTAGGCCTTCTTGTAGCGCCTCGCTGGATTGCGACGATATCAACTGAACTTTCAGTCTACAACTTCACTACCCAAATCAATTCAAACGGTTACGGATCTACCAGAGATGAAGACTACAAAAGACGTGTTTCCATTACTAGTACTAACAACCGTTCCGACGACAACTGAAAGTACTACTACAACAAAGCGGCCCACTACAAAATCCGCTCCAGCGAAAACAATTGGGCAAGTGAGTATATCGGATTTTCGGGTCGGAATAGTTCGCTCCAAGTTTAAATGTTTCCTTAGAAATGGGAACGTTTCCGAACCACAACTCCTTCATCAACCACGTCTGAGAGAGTACCGGTTTTCACTCTATTCCCTGCTACTAAACAACAATCGTGCGTCGTTTGTGGAACTTACTTTTTTCAATTTTTTTGTATCCTTTCTTGTCTTTTATTTTCAGCAAGTGCTTCTATTTTCAGGATAACTGATTCTCCAGTTACTTTCAAGCCGCAGCCGGAAACCACGGAGGCGCCAACAAGTCATGGGTCAGGAGGTCAGTTGAATTGCTCTGCCATAAATACAGTGCTAAACGGAGCGCTGGGTGGAGATGTTCCTGAGTACATACTCTGGCGCGGCGCCCGCCTGTCTCCACACATGTTGCCACTATGGAGATGGCAACTATTGATGAATAGGCTAGTGTCGCGCCATATCGTATACCGGTCTCGCTGCTAAAGCCGGGGCGTGTAGAGGACTGCGTTTAGCGCAGCGCCAGCCCGTTCTCTTCCATCTGTTGGAGGGCAAGACAACCACTAAAGAAACGGGCTGGCGCTGCACCAGACCCAGCTCTCCTGACACTGCCAGCATCAGGCAGTGAACAAGAAGAGAGCACTGTTTTACCATTGATCATTACAAGAAAGACAATATATCGCAGGATGCAGTTGCGGAGACTGGTCTGAATGGATTGGCGAGTGCTCGCAGCAGTGTGGAGGATGTGGTCATCGAGTCAGAACGAGACAGTGCCAAAAGACTGAGTGTCGGTAAGGAGATTCACTTGAGTTGCGGTTTTTAGCTCAAAGTTAAAGATGGTGCCTTACCAGCTCTCGCATAGGGGGAATATGTAAGGCGAGATCAGTTTTGCAAAGCGGGGCCCGAGTGCGCCACATGCTTGCCATAGATGTATAGCCTGCGCCCCACTGCTGGGCACTCAGCGACCAAGCGCACCAAAAATGACGAAACCGGTACTGTCTTTTTTTTCTCGCCATAGTTCGAGCTTTTCTCAGCGACTGCCCTTCCTTTGAGTGACGAGGTTTTCGGAGCTCTCCACCTTGAAATTTTGTCTCAACCGTCATTGTCGTTGTATATGAACCAAGGCAGATAAAAAAAATCCGTCACAAATTTCTGAGGCTCTATTTTGCAGAAGTGAAGACAAAAGAGCTTGTAATTTTGGTGTTTGTCCTACTGGCACCAACTTCCTCATCAATAATGGCGAGTTTCACATTCTCTGGCGAGGTTGCTGTGTTGGACTGTTCAGGTATAAATTTTTACTGTTCTCACTCTTTTTCCGGCTTTTACTAGTTGATGGCAGCCCCGCGCTCAATCAATCCGTAGGTGTCTTTCCTTGTCTAAGTGATCTGGTCCGCAGCCTCCTCGAGTGCTCCACTTCCGCTGTTTCGCAATGGGTA